AACCACACGCTTGGGATTCACTTTAATCCTTGATTTCATAATATTTTCATTTTAATATATAATTTTACAAAGAAAAATTCTACAACCTTCGAATATATTCCGAATGATTAAAAAATTAATTTAAATTATAAAATATTAAATTAAATAATTATTTAATAATAAAATTATTGAAAAGAATTAATATTTTAAATTTTCGGCCGTTGTTTGGTATAGTTTTGGAAGGATATAGCACTCCTCTTTTACAAAATGACATTCACTTTGGTATGTGTAAATCAATAGTAAAAAAATAAAGTAAAGACAAAGTATGTGTAAATCGATAGTAAAAAAAAATAAAGTAAAGACAAATAAATCACTTGTTTGTAAAGTCAAGAATTAAAGTATGAATTTTGTAAAGTCAATAATTAAAGTAACCGAGAAAACAGAGAATAAAAATAAAAATAAAGTAACCGATGCACAATCTCAAAATTAGAATGAAAGTATATAATAATAGTCTAGATATGTTCTGTTTAAGAAGGAAAAAAGAAAAGAAAAAAGGAGAAAAGAATGAATAGACGGTGAGATAATTTTGAAGCAAGTTTATTAGGAAAAAAAATGAAATTAAATTATTTTTCTTCTTATTTGATTTTGTAAAATATAAAAAGTAAAAATATGTATATAAAATGAAATAAATATTTCAATTAACACATAAAAAATAAGAATGAATTAGTATTTTGTTTAAAATAATCAGCCTTTCCCAAATAACCAAATTCAATGAATGGTTTTTAGTAAGTGTCATTTTCAAATAATTAAAACTTATTCATCATACTTAGCATCCCTCCTAATTTGATACGAAAATAATCAAACTCAATAAATGGTTTTTAGTACACGTCATTGTCAAATAATAATAATAACTTCAAATTAATTATTTAATTTTTAAAAGTTGGAAAAAATTAAACTATTTTAATTAAATTAAAATTTCTTTAAAACCATCCGTAGCATTGATTTGTGGGAATTTGCTGCTCTAGGACTATAAAATAGTGAGTAAGCATTTTAGGATAGCAGATCCTTTCAATTTGAAAATTATCAGTGTCCATATGAGTGGTTGGATCATATGAGTGGTTCTCATCTTGTATGTATCTCATTATTATATATTTTCTTTACATAGTACTCGAGTCTCTTTCTCTTCTATTACTATTCCAAAAAAAAACCAAAAACAAAAAAGATGGTATCTTATGTCTGATACTCTTTCTCTTCATTTTCAACTTGTAAATAATTAAACTTATCTAAACCGTAATTACCTTATTTAAGAGTATCTCCAAGACTCCAACATCATTCCTTGTCTAGGTTTCTTAAAGTTAAGGAATCATGAAATTTAAAAATAAAATAAATGAATAAATAAAATAAAAGGTTAAGGAACCATGCTCAACTTGGTTTATGGTTGGAGCAACAAACACGATTGCTCAACAATTTTAGTACTTGTCACTGCTTAATAATTAGGAAACAAAATCTCAAGCAGCACATTGATTATAAAATAATGTCAACAACCGTATTATTTTGAACTCATTCTATTATTGAATGAAATTTATCAACAACAAAAAATCACAAAATTTTGTATGACTCATTTTATTTAATGAATCTATCTCATGATTTTATTAATGAATCTATCTCATGATTTTGTAAGTTTCCATAAATTTTAACCAATAATAAAAAATTATGATTTTACCATTCTTTTTATAATGCCTAATAAGAGCTTTGGAGTTGAATTAAACTCGAGCTTAAATTCTAAGACCCATATTCACTCCACATGTGCAGTGCTGAACCCAAGAGCATGGGGTTGAAAAGAGTACTCCAAACCTATAACCTCAACTTTCTACTACCAACTAGTTTTTCAACTATTTTTACAAAATAAAATATAAAAATTATTTAAATAAACTTTCTCATAAACACTTTTAAGAGAAAATAAAATAAAATAATTTATGTATAAATTAAAAATGATTTTTTGAAAAACTAATGTGAAAAAACTTTTATAAATTAATTTTTGTATAAATTAATTTAAGCTAATAAAAAATTTATTTTATTTTTCTTCATATTTTTCCCCTAAAGTTCTTTTAGAAAAATTTATCAAAATATAGCCACAGTCTAAATACATGTCAACTTAAAATGATTAATTAAAAATAAGTAAATGCAATCATTTCATCAATATGTTGTGATAAGAATAATTTTTGCAACAGTATGAGCACTATACGTGTACTCATAGTGTAAAGCTTTATTTTTTTTTTATTGTCATCTAATAACAAAATATAATATATAATGAATTTATTTATTTTTATAATAATTACTATATAAATTATATTGATGATATTATCTGGTTGATTGATAATATAAAAAAGATTTACAATAATAGTAAATGTATATTAAACTCCTAAAAATTTTGAAAGACTAAAACTAAAACAAGTACTTTAAAAACAAAATACAAGTTATTTGGAATTTAAAATTAAGAGCTTTGTTCCGCATTGACAAAGGTATGCAACTTATTTCTAAAAACTACTCCAATTAGTATCTTTTTTAAGAACTACTTTTCCCTCCTTTTCTTTTATAAAAAATATGTTTCTTAATTTTTTAAAAGAATTTTTCTCTGAATATATTTGAACGTTTGACCTAACTTCTCCTTTAAAGGAGAAAAAAAAATGGATCAAATACTACCTTAATTAAATTTATATGGCTAAAAACATATTTTACCCTCTCTTTTTACATGATATGATTACTACAAACTTATATGATATCTCTGAAACGGAAATTTAACATGAGATCAAAATTTGACGGGCTTTATGTGAATGCAATTAGCCAAGACCTCAAAGGGCCGCAGAATATATAATGTGATTAAAATGATTCACAAAGACACTATTATGAACAATAAAATTGTTACAAGATCTTACATATTTCAGAACAAATGATTTTTAGATATAACAGGAATTTAACAGCTCATAGCCGACGGGAATAGCCAGAACCTCCACATTTCTTGCAGAATATCAATCCTATAAAGTGGAAAGTGGAAACACGTGCATGAACAGAAAGAACCATAAAGGCCATAAGTAAGCTATTCTTTAAAGTGTTGGAGAGATACAAACATATTGATTTTCACACACCAACTTTAAACACAATCTCTCAAAGGTGGTAAAAGGAAGCACATCAAAAATGATTTGTGTTGTGTAAATTAAAATGTGAAATAAACACAATGTTGTTAGATGTTCGAAGCAATCTCAATTTGTTTCATGCATATGTAAAGAGAGAGATACCTGAACCCTTGCATACTTTACAGTTAATTAACCCCATATCTTGCTTCATCTTGCCATTGTCGCAAAACACACATTTTGTTCCACCTGCTTGTCAGCAATGTTTTCCAAAATAGTACTTCTGTCAATAATACTAACACAAGTTGCCCCTTTACTTCATATCATATACAATGTAAAACAGTTCAATTTAGGAAAGGAATACTTCTCATTTATAACCATCACCATTAGGTACTAGAATTTCTTTCTCCTGTCCAAATTGACCTATTGCGATACAATATATCTCCAGTCAAAACCCACAAAGCACTTGCTACTCACTCCCCTTATGATAATACATTATCATAAGAAATGTTGTTGCTGAGAATATTTTTTTTAAATTGAACCAACTGCCCCTAAATGTCTGCTTGGTTGAATAGGTGGAAAATAGGAGGTGAAGATTTTAACATGAAAAACACTACATTTGGTCCAAAATTGTTTTCATTTTCCACCCTCTCACTGTCAATCAAGCAGACTACAAGTATCCTCAGTCAAAGCAATCATCCCTCCAATTTTTTCATTACAATAATTCAAGCCAAGACAGTGTTTCACTGCTTCTTAACACGTGAATAATGATATCCTCCTTGCCGATATTTTAAAATGTTCCTCATATTCTTGCCTTGAAGCATTAATAATTTCCATAAAAAAAACAACATAAAAGCACATCAATGTTTAAAAGCTCAAATGAAGAAAGATAATTACCGTTGCCAGCACAACGCTCACAAGGCACCGGATCACCCTGCAAAACCCCATCACTCATTACCAAACAGAGGTATTATCAACTTTGACCCAGAAAGTTATGGTTAGAAAGGAATAATCCTATACTACATTTTTGAATGAGGTAAAACGGTTGCTGAATTCACCACTGCCACCACCACTCCTAATTTTATTTTATTTTTTATCAAAACCAAACCAAAAAAATAAATGAAGCAGCAGAAAGTAATCACTAAACAGAATGTAACAATCTAAAGAGCAAGAAACATTATTTAACAAAAGGAAGGAAATAAAAAAAAGATTTTTTATGAAAAGTAAGAGAAAGGCGGAATGGAAATAAAGAACCTTGAGGCCAAGGAAGAGAGAGAGAGCAATGGCGGCCAAAACACTAACAGTGACGATAAGTGTTTGCGTGTCGAAATAGAAAGTGGTGGCGACGCCGTTGAAGAGCAAAATGGGGTCGATGATCGCCAACAGCCTGGGCTTCGTGGGTTTGCGTCTTAGTTTGGAGGGGAATTGAGGAAGAGAACGAGAACATGGACAAAGATGAACAAAACCTGAAGAAGAAGAAGAAGGAGTGAGAGAAGAAGATAGAGGATGAAGAGTGTAGTAAGGAAGAGTGGCCATTGATAAAACAAAACCAAATATTATTATTAGTATGTGGACACTGGACCTCACCCATTTATGTTCTTCAAACCTCTACCACTAAATATCTGCAGTATTATTAACCATAACATATATCAAATTTATGCAACAAAATATTAACTAATTTTAAATTTTACAAAAACTTATATTTTAAAATATTTAAGAAGAATTTTTAATTTAACGACTTAATTGTTAAAATTAACATAAAACTATCTCAAATAATCGAAGTTGTAAGCTCAAAAGGAAGCACCTCATGCTTTTGTTCTCCAGATGCTTCCAAAACTGTTTGATCCCAGGCTAGAGCTAAGTTGAATACTCAAGAAAACATAATCCAACATTAGCTTAATATATTCATGGGCCTGTCCCATAACTAGACCCCTTCGGACCCTTTCTAGTTTCTCCTACGTCCATCGAGTCAAGTGAAGACCCAAACACAATAAAATTCGATGGGCTTTTCTTTACCCTGCCTCCTCCTCCACCCATGAACAGGATCATTAATCAGATATTGTCAAGTTTTCATGATCAATTATATCAATATATTATATTATTACAACACATATATATGTTATTTCCCTTCTACATCCAATAATGTTTAATTTTACAGATTAAGAAATATTTAATAAATATAAAATTTTTTTTTTTTAGACCGAAATACTTTTATTGAATATTTTATTATTTATAAAAGATAGATTATTATTGTTATAATATTTTTTACATAAAGTATTATTGAAAAATAATTAATAAAACTTTAAATGTATAACATATATCATTATACACAACTCTAGAACTAACTAGAGTTGGATTTGATATAAAAATATTATACACAACTCTAGCTAGTTCTACAGTTTTTTTTGTGCCTATGCAAACCCATGATATCTTTAATTGAAATTAAAGACTAATTTCTCAAAGTGAAATTCAGTAGAGGACTATTCTTTAATTATAGAGGTTTTTCCATAGATAAGGAGTCAAAGATTAAACTCGAAACAAAATTATTCGTCAACATATTGGTGCAAGTTCTACGTGTCGATGGTCCTTTTGAAAGAAACGTCCACATGGTTGATATATAAGATGACAGTATGATTGATGAAGAATGCATAGCAACGAAGGGGTTAGAAAATATTTCAATGGGGTACGCTATGCGCGTCATGTAAATATTATATATATAGAAATTCCCAGTGGCGGCGAAGACATTGAACCTTGAAAGTTGAAACCAAACAAACAGCAAGCGCAGACATGAACTTCATTAATAGTAGTAAATCTCAAAGGTTACTACATATTGATATAGATATGTACCATGTACGTATTATTAGTAACAAAGTTATGGAAAATAATCGTGTCTCATTCTATTGATCAATAGGTAATTATATACAAGTAGAGAGTGACATACCGAAGATTACTTTCAGGACTAGGTATGGTCGCTGTGAGTACGTAGTGATGCGTTTCGGTGTCACTAATGCTCCAACAGTGTTCATGGATTACATGAACAAGATTTTTTTTTGGTCATTCTTGGACAGGTTTGTGATGGTCTTCATTAATGATATATTGGTGTATTCTAGATTTTTGGAGGATCACCGTGAGCATTTGAGGTTGGTTTTAGAGGTGCCGAGGGAGAGGTAGTTGCATGCCAAGCTGTCCAAGTGTGAGTTTTATTGTCTAAGGTGAGATTTGGGGCATGTGATATTGTAGACCCCTAAAATTATCCGGGTCAGAAATAAAGCTCAAAGACTCTCAAAGACCGAAGGAAAGTCAGCCGGAAGGACTCCTGGAAGACCCTAGGATGATTCTTTGTAGGTCTAGAAGTCTTAGAATAGCTTAAAATAAGGGTATGCAAGGATTGGAGCTCAATACACCCTTCTAGAGGTTCAGTACGGCCGTACTGAGCCATTTGAACTGCAATACGGCCGTACTGAACTCAATACGGCCGTACTGAAGATTTTGAACTTCAGTACGGCCGTACCAAATTCAATACGGCCGTACTGTAGTTCAAAAACCCAGTACGGGCCGTATTGACCCCCCAGGCCGTATTGCGCCTCAATCCTATAAATAGGACGTCATTGGCACGTCCTAGCTAATTTCCCACACCAACATCAACACCTAAACACCACAGCCACCAGAAGGAGTTCCGCAAGTGAGAATGGGAGAAAAGGAGAAGTATGAGTTTTGAGAGAAAGAGTGCGTAAAAAGGAAAAAGAGAGTTGGAGTGTGGGAGTAAAATAAGAAAAGGAAAAGAGGGGGTCTCAGAGAACTTAATCTCCACGTATATATATATATATATATATATATATATATATAAAGATAAAAAATAACACAAGCAAGTGCAGATATCATATAAAATATAGACAATGTACATTGTAATACAAATATCAGATAAAAAAAGTATTGATATCAGAAAAGTATTAGCACTTCAAAATAATTCTTAATTCATGCTACATAATCATCCTAATTCCTGCTATATCTAAATAACATCAGCATTCTAATTCCTACTACATCAAAATAATACCAAACAGATCTTGATCCCTTCCAAAATAACATTAGGATCCTACTTTCTGTCATACCAAAATAGCACAAGTCTAAATTTCAACTATACCAAAATAGTATCATTCTAATACAATGATTTAACTAACTTTTCATGGATGGTAATGCATTATAAGCTGCATACTTTAGCCAACCCAACAGCCTTTGTTTATGTCCTTTTAAAGCTACAAACATTTCTCTAGCAGACTTGGATAACATAAGTTGAGAGCATCTGGCATGCCAATCGTCATCACTTGTAATTTCTATTATTTTGTCAAGTTCATCCATCACTTCAGGAATTGATGTGCCAAGTACTACTAGTGTGTTTAGAGCATTTGAACGTGACTCAGATGTAGATGCAATTCTACTTATTGCTTCAGCTATTTTTTTTGAGGCAGGAGCTTTCACATTTTTACTTTCATTTTTTTCAGAAGCTCCAACCCTTTTCCTCTTGCCAATGCTTCTTTCACTATTGCTTCCTTCAGAAGTGCTTAAATTAATATTTCGCAATTCAGAACTCATTCCAGCACTAGTGGGTATAATTTCTTCACTATCTCCTGATCCTTCCTCTATATCACCACTCTCAAAGCATGGACGATATACATCATCTTCACCTATATCATTAGGTAATATCCCAAAAGAAGGTACCCAACTGAATTTTCCATTAGCCACCACATCCTTGAATAATGTAGTTAAATCATTGGCAAAAGCAAGTCCTTTATATATAAATTTTCCATAAAGTGGATTTTCCTGTATGTTACAACTAATCAACATATTGTATTACATAAAGGAATTTAAAAACTTCTAACTTCACATTAAAAGACTTCATACCATTTGCTTTTTATCCCACCACTCGTCTAAAGCATCTACTGTATTCCTTACATTATCCCATCCTAAACCTGTTTCTTTTCCAAACAACTTGTACCATATTGACCATTCCTTCTTAAGATTATCCCATTTGTTTCTAAATTGACTCTTGCCATATTTTCTTCCACTTTTCATGTTGAATTCAGATTCAACGAATTTCCACCCTTTTTTTGTAAGGTTAGTACCATTTCGTTCTCCTTTATAAACTTGATCCAAGCATAATTTAACAAACATCTCGGTGACTTTCACATCCCATGCAGCTTTTGCCTTAACACCTTCATTATCAACAAGAGAAGTATCTACAAGACTTTTTCTCTTGTCGTTACTCATTAATCTATTATAAAAAAATATCACAATTCATTTATAGCCTCATTCAACTTAGTATAATAAATTATAAAAAAATAATTCATCACAATAGTGTGCACATTTGAAGATAAAATCAACAATAGATGAATCTGGATTACGAGCTCATCACTTCTCTCACTGTCTAAGACAACAGTTCCCTCCCTCACTTCAGAACCTACAACTACCTCATTGAGTGTATTTTCTCCCATCCTTGTGTCATTATCCAAATCATTCATCACAATAGTGTGCACATTTGAAGATAAAATCAACAATAGATGAATCTGGAAAAAAAAATCAACGATTCAAAAGAGATAATAACAATAATGAATTTAAAAAGTTAAGAAAACTTTTATGCACAAGAAGGGGAAATAACAAAATCTTACCAAGTTAGAAATCCAAAATCAGAGAGCCAACATGAAGATGAATCCAAAAAAATAAAAAAAAAGTTAAGAAATTCAAAATCAGAGAGCTCACATGTAGATGGATCTGGAACAAGCAGAGGAGGAGGAGGAGAAATTCTATATGTCCAAGCAAAAAATGTTTCAAATCCAAGTAATATACTAGATTTATTACTTCTTCAAGTTGGTGGGTGAGAGTAATGGTGACCGTTGCCAGTAGTTGAAGAAATTTAAATGTTACGGGTGAAAAGAGAATTAAGAAACGGAAACTTCTCGTTCAATGAAAAAGTAACATAAGTGTTGCTTTGGATGTAACGTACATTTTGAAGATAATAAAGTTTAACGTAAAGTAAAAAAAAATTAACAAACAAATGGGTACAACATTCAATGCAAACTAAACTTCCGTTTGGATGCCTAAACGGCAAACCAAACATACCCTAGATGTTAGACTTTTACCTTTCTTTATAGATAAAACAACATTTATTTTTTACAATAATATTCTTCTTATTATTAATTTTAATAACTTTCAATTAATAAAAAATGTTATATAGCAATACAATATTTGTTATTAAAAATTATTTTTAACTATATTATATAGATATAAATATGTTGATATATTGTTAAAAATTGTAAGTATATATTATATTAACACATAAAATATGTTATTAAATTTCATATAAAATTAATACTAATATATATATATATAAATTTTCCATAAAGTGGATTTTCCTGTATGTTACAACTAATCAACATATTGTATTACATAAAGGAATTTAAAAACTTCTAACTTCACATTAAAAGACTTCATACCATTTGCTTTTTATCCCACCACTCGTCTAAAGCATCTACTGTATTCCTTACATTATCCCATCCTAAACCTGTTTCTTTTCCAAACAAC